TGGTTTCCTTTCTCTCACCGGTCTCCGCGGCTCATCTTGTGGCGCAGGATCCCCCGGAGGTGGAGAAGGCGGGTTCTCAGGCTCTCGCGCCTCAGGCTGCGCAGGTTCGTCGTCATGATCCTGGCCTGGCCCCTTTTGGGATTTAGGAGGAAGACGTGAGTCTGGCTCATCGTCATCAGTGATCCAGTCATCATCAGAATTTTCTGGTTGACTGTCAGCTGGTTTAGGCGCACTTTGCAGCCTAGTGCTTGCCCGTCGCTTTGTATTAGGGCATTTAGGGAACATAGCTTCGTCAAACAGCGCAGTAGGCTGAGTGACTATACTATTATTGGCGCGCATGAATTTGAAGCCATGGCCGCCATCAGCGACACCAATGTAAGTCATCAGCTCAGCTTTAGGCGATAACTTATTGGGTCTGGTTTCCTTAGGCAGGTAGACGTACGCTCCGCATCCAAAGACACGTAAGTGCTTGATGTCGGGAGCTTCCTTGTTCAGGACCTCATAAGGAGTCAGCCATTGATGGCGCTTCAAAGGGGTCCGATTGTAGACATGAACAGCATGGTCTACTGCAAATTCCCACCAAGATGGAGGTGAGCAGGACTCTAGCCGCATTGACTGCGCTTTGTCCATTATAGTCCGAATAAAGCGCTCAGCACGACCATTCTGTTGGTGCGCATAAGGTGCGCTCTGTCGGATTTTTATGCCCTCATCTCTGAGCATCTCGATGAATGCATCAGATTTGTATTCTCCCCCTGCATCGGACATCCACTCCTTAATTTTCCTGCCATATTGATTTTGTACGTAGGCAAGAAATTGACGAGTCTTAGCAATTGCAGCACCTTTGGAGCGCATATGCATGACCCATCCATAGGAGGTGTAATCGTCAAAGAAGACGATTGTGTACCGATACTTATGGTAGGAGTCTACGGGAAAAGACTTAAGATCCGAGTGAATCAACTCAAACGGTTTTTTAGCCCATAGAGTGGATGGCGGGAAAGCCTTAGAAGGCATTTTGCCTTCCGCGCATCCAGGACATACTGGGTCTTCCGATGGAAACTCCAGGTTGGTGGGGAAACCTTTAGTGTGTTCCCTAGCTTGCCGCAGGACTTCCTTAGAGGGGTGTCCCAGGCGACGGTGCATAATCCCATAATCGACCGCATAGATCGTTGGGAATATAGAATATGCATCCGGTGCAGGAATTGTACTGACACTGTAGATAGTGTCGCCGGGCTGCCGCGGTAAAAACCTGAATAAAGGTTCACGCAATCCCTTTTCATATAGACTTATGTGTCGGTCATTTCCAGACACTTTTAGTTTATCCTGGAGCAATACGCCGAGTGACATGAGGCGAATATTCAGGTCAGGTATATAGTATACTGGAAATAACCGAGTGGTTATGTTCCCGACGTCCTTGATATAATAATTTAGGACTGTCGTACCAAACCCGAGTATTCGTGCAAACCCGTTCGCGGTAGACGCGGTCGCAGGTTGCTTAAATTCCTCAAAGTCGATGAAATCACTCATGTCAAAAGTGAAATGTCGAGAAGCCCCCGAATTGAGAATCCAGGTGTTACCCTGTTGTGCCTTATCTTTCCCCTTACATTTTGCACACGCAGCATAAGTTTGCGCATGAGTGCAATATATTAAAGCCAAAGTTACAGGACTCAAGTTAAGATCTACACTACGCTGCCCTAACTGTGATGGCGCGTCAGTGGAGTCCTGTAAAGGGGAAGATAGCACGTACGAGTAGTGCTCGTCAATAAAGGCATTCTGGTCGAAGCCAGCAGCCTCCGCGATAGTGCGGTCCAGGTCTTCCTCGTCGCCGAGACTAACAGTCTCCCCCTGGTCCTTGTCACTACCCCAGTCGATAGACTGGTTGTCGTCGTGGTCGCTGTCCGCAGCGTCATCCGCGCGAGCAACTCCTTCGAAGCGAGCGCGCTTGGACGCGCGGCTGGAGGCGACAGAGTCGGCATCCTCCATGTCAATATCCGGGTCCGGATCGACTTGCCCGACAAGAGCGTCCAAGACCTTGATATCTTCTTCGGTGGGACTTATGTCGAGGTCCCGCGCGAGCTTGAAGGCTTTCTTGATACGCTTGTTGTTGTAGTGACTAGTATCCACCGAAGGAGGCGGGTGAAACGGACCTTGCTCTTTGACCGTCCAAGTCTTGCTGCCGGTAGGCGCAATGTCGAGGACGTGAGCGATAGTCGGAGGAGGAAGGGAGACGGTCGAGGCGATCAAGACGTCGTGGGCATGGTGGTGATCGTGGTTTTGCCCTTGACGCTTCTTGCCTGCGCGCTTGCCGCGATAAGGGCGCCTTTTCCCATCTCGCGCATTGCTGCTGCTGCCCTGAGGGCGCTGCTGCTGCTGCGAAGAAAAGGAGGGATCACCCGGCTTACGCTTCACCGCCGAGATCTTGTGCGCACCTAGCTGTGTCGTCTTCTTGTTCTGGGATTGCTCCCAGGCAGTGACGACAGCCTCCCGGACTTTGTCAATGTCCATAGTCGATGTCGATCCCTGGACTAAGACTTGAACGAGGGAGTCATACCGAGGAGGGAGCGCATTGAGACAGATCAATCCCTGGAGACAGTTAGGGATGGTCTGGCTCTCAGAAGCCAAAGCGTTAAAATGCTTGGTAATCTTGGCAAAGGCGGGAGCAGGATGTTGATCGGCCGGGATCTTGGTAGTTAACGCCCCACGCAGTTCGTTATAGATGGAGGCAAGGGATGAGATACCATACGTGAAACTGAGCTCCTTCCAGGTTTCTATAGCCGTTGTCTTGTCTTGAATAAGGGTGGCAACGGCAGGGGAGCATCGAAGACGAATTGTACCGATGGTCTTGGTATTCAGTCTCCAGGCGTCTCGTGCAGAGGTATCTTCACTGGTGCTGCCGTCCTTGTAGGTGGTTACGACAGGGTCAGGCATAGTAATTGTACCGTCACAGTGTCCCCAAAGGCCTTGGGACATGAGGTACGCCTTCATCTGTTGGGACCAGAGCGACCAGTTCGAGCCGTCGAGGACAGGGACAACAGCAATCAAATTGTTCGACATTGTTTGAGGAGCGATTGAGAGATCTGAAATCTGTATCGAGATCTTCATCAGTATCAGCGAAGCTATGCAGCCCGATAAGGGTGCACTGCTCCATGTTGTTGGCTCCATTAGGGAGTTACCTCAGGATTGATCATCAAGCCTGATGGCTGCTGATAACAGCGCCTACGGCGATGATCACGCATCAAGCCACACTGCAGCCTGTGAGGGGCGCATAGGGCGGTGCACAGGTGAGCGAGGCGCAACACGCTGCAGCGAGTTACCGCGCAGACGCAAGCTGCCTTTTGGGCTCATAACCTGATGAAGAGTTATGGAGGCAGCAGCACGCACAGTGCGCCCTACACAACTCACCTGTATTGGTTGGATGCTGTAGCTATTAGAAAAGCTCGTATGAACGACCCTTGTCATTAGGCAGCAGAGCTGCAGGGTTTATATACACTGTGGCCCATAGGCTGACTAAGCTACGTGGAATATCTATAATCCTACTGAGCTCCACCTATGATGTCACTGACCCACATGAGCTCTGTGCCATTGTACAATAATGGAATATACCAGAATGTTCCAGAGGGTTCTGGTACGTTCTGGTATGTTGTAGAACCTGGCAGCTAAGTCAGCGCCCAGTTCAACAGTGAGTAGCGCAGAGAGATCGGTCGCCGCACGTCGGAGTCTCTTCCTTAAGGCGTGACGTGCTGTCGCATATGCCGGACATTGGAAGAGGTAGTGACGAATGTCTTCTGGGAGTCCGGGACAGTTAGGGCAGTCTGGGGATGCGAGCTTGCCGATGCGCACCAGGGCATACTCCGGCATGCTACGTCGAGTTTCAGGTCGGGTTGATTTATGTCTAAATTATTCTTCATTTCATTTGCCAGAAAAGCGAAAACAAGGAAATCGCGATTTGTAAGTCTCAGTGACCCGCTGAGCTCCATATGGGGCACAACTGAGCAGTAGCGTTACATCGAGTGTAGTGAATAATACATGCTAAAGTCCGTAAACAGCGAATAAACCGGCCGGTGTCCTGAGCAAGCCAGACTACGGGAACCGAATTGATACCATTGCGACCTATCCAGTCTTGGCAGCCCGAACTTTCTCCTGCGCTGCATTCCCCAGCTCTATGTCGTCGGATCTTGTGCCATTATCACCCCGCTTGCTCTTCTTCCCCAGAGGTACAGGACCGGCGAACAGCGACGACAAAAATCCCATTGCGACGAGGGCAGTCGTAGCGATCATCATCGAGGAGAATGCCTCCCCGTATGCCATGCGCACGATTGCCTGGACCTGCACTGGAGCCTGCCGTAGCAGAGTGACGGACTCGGACGCTTGGATGTACTATACAATTCTAAATCAATAACGCGAGGTGTAAGAGTCCATGCGACATACAGGAGCAGACACCGGATTGCCAAGGATATGGCTGTTTAGGACGTTCTGTATGATACTACCCTGGACTGAGATGCCCACGATCCCGCCCAGACTCTTGCTCCACATAGTCATGGTCGTGATGCTGGCGAGCTCGCCGCTTTCGGCCTGACTCTGAGCAGCCACCGTGTTAGTTTGGAAGACGAAGCCCATGCCCACGCCAGCTATGATCAGGAAGGCGAATTCCGGTCCACGAGGCGTCCTCTGGTTGATGAGGATGCAAAGCCCGGAGCCCAGAAGATTAACTATACCTCCGGCCCAGAGCCAAGGTCGGACCCAGCCCGTCTTCTGTATGAGTATTCCAACTACCACCGAGGAAATGGATAACGGGAGGATGCTTGATATGAAGATTGTCAGGATGCATAGTCACATAAAGAAGAGATAGGGCTCGCACTATGGCAGCAGTTCGAGGCCAGAAACGAGCTGGGTGTCCCCTTTCACGAGCTGGAAGTACGTTGGGATATATGCAGCAAGGCCGTATACTACCATGTTTGTGAAGAAGTAGTTGGTAGTCGCCATCACGACATTCCGATGCCGGAACATTGTGAGGGGAATGATAGGAGTACTCGGCACCCGCATCTCGTAAACCACAAATACAGGAATCAGTGCACCTCCGACTACGAGGAGAGCGATGACTTGGCGGCTGCTCCAAGGATAGATGACGCCTCCCCAGGCGAGGGCAAGGAGGAGAAGCACGACAGAAACCGACAGGATTACGATCCCTCCAAAATCGATGTCAGCGAGGGTCACTTTCTTCTTCTTTTGGTCAGGCATTTTGTTGAACAGAGAGAGGATAATGACGATTGCAAGACCACCGATGGGCAGGTTTATATAGAAGCACCAGCGCCAGGACACGTCGTGGGTGAAAATACCTGTTTCGGCGTGTCAATATGTCCTCCGTGCAAACTATCGACTTACCACCAAGCACCTGTATAGTCTCCATGAGTATATGATATGAGGCCGTATAATATGACTTACCGGTCCAAGTACATTTGCGAGAGCGAGTCGAGCGTACATCACGCCCATGTATCGGCCTCGTTCTCTGATTGGAACCATTCTGCGGGACGAGAGCAACATCAGGACATGTTCCGCGGCTATAATTGGATACGCACTGGCTGATCATTATCATAATGACAACCTAGAGGACCCGTAAACGCCAAAATTAATTCAAGGGCAATTGACTGACCAGTAACCCGGCCCCGCCAATGCCTGTACAGAACTGAGTCCTGGCTTAACTGGGGAATGAGCATCTGGGACGTACCGGCGACAGCCCTGGCACAGCATAGCCATACATAATTTTGTGCAGTCGCGGTCATCAGTGACCCGAATTCGAATAGGAGTATAGCAGTGATAAGCGTGGCCTGAACATTATATTTTAGATACTAAATCCGATCCAGATTTATAGATACTCACTTTGCAACCCCAGAGATCAGACGCCCGCCCGAAGAAGGGCTGAAACACCGTAGAAGTAATCAGATACGACGTCGCGATCCCTGAGCAGAGGAACATCAGTCGCATGGATATGCAGTGCAAATTTACAGGTACAGACAGCTCTGCTCGTTGAGAGAATGGAATTCCGACGCGATAGTAGGCATCGATGTCGACGTGATGGTCTGATCCAATGCAGCCAGGAATCCTCCAGTGGCGAGACTGCATTCAATGTCAGTAATGGGGTAAAGATGGAAAGCTTATTGGCGGTGACCTAGCAAAGGCCAGGTGGATCTCCCATGGCTTCATGGAATGACCAAGACCATCTCCGTCAGCCGACTCGGGGGAGGTCACCGGCAAGGAGTGTTCTTTAATGTCAGCTTCAATGGGACTCCCTGGCTGAAGAGGCTGGCCGGAAGGCAGGGCATCCGACATGACTGGAAAAGATTGGCTTAGTAGGGAGCAGCTGGTGCGGGACTTAAGACTCTCTTCCGGTTGATATTGAGGGATTCCTGGGTGGCGCTTATTGAGGCATGCGTTCACCTGTACGTTGGATGCATTGCGTCTACTACGGCCTAGGTCCGAGAGTGTCGCTGTTAAGGCATAATGCACGTGCCGGACATGCTATGAATAGGTGAACCAATACCCACAGCTGTGGCAGACTTCTCCGATACCGTTGCTGGATTTGTCTGAGCAAATCTAGCAGGCTTGATATAATCATTTCAAACGCCTGGTGCACATCAGTACTAGCATAGAGGATATATCAGTAACATAACCCTCCACTACCATCAAGCGGAGTCTTGAGCGGGGACGCAGAGGAAGGCACCGGCAGGCATCGAGTGTAAATGACAGATGAACACAGCACCGTGACAGCGATAGTTAGCAGAGATGTAACGGCGGTGCCTTTCGGGTGGCGTACAACTTCCCAGGCTTTGTCGTGCCGGCGTATCAGCGTATATTCCAAGACTAGACTGTAGATGAGCGGCGAACGGAAAGGACACTGGAGTCTCGGCAATACAAGCTGTAGGATGCTATATAATAGCATGGGTTCATGCTAGGTCGTTCGGCATAACTTCCTCTTCATGGCAGAGATAGATTCTTGCGAGCTTCCGGACGGAGATGTCTCCGTTCTTTCCCTCCCCAGACTCAAGGATGAACTTATCGGGCATCCACTGATGACTTCCATGGGAAGCTTAGCTCTTTCGACTTTCATTTCAAAGAGCGTATACGGTGCTATTGACTGGAGACCTGTACGTCTCGTTTCTTCCTCCGGGGATATCTGAACGCTACGCACTGAACATGCTTCGCTGGTTTAGGTGCTGATCTGCGTCTCCTCGGACGTTCTCACAATTGGACTTGACCACTACTATGATCAGACGCCTATGCTTCACCGTGCAAAGAGCATGTCTGATGATGCAGCCCTCTCCGTCTTTAGTCACGCTCGTCTCTTACTGTTGGCCAACGCAGCCGTTTTGATTGTGACACTTTTGCGCTCTCCTTGGATTACCTCGGCAATTACGGCGGTCTTCATAATACCTGCGCTGCTATGGAATCAAACGCTCTTTTACTGGAAAAGCGGAACTGCTTCAAACCCTACACTCAATGCCCGTGCTCCGCTTTCATCTTCTGGGAGTGCTTTTGTCATCAAACGCATCCCTGGCATGAAAGCTGTCTTCATCGGTATAATTCGGGGGTATGTGACATTTCTTTATGTCGGGCAAATCATTAACTTATTGCGGACAAACATCGAAGGTGTGGCACATTCGCAGTTGTACATTCCCTTCTCTCGTCGTCTTACCCTGCGCGCCCGCATGGCGGATGGATGATTTGGACACCTACTCAAGTCTTGGTCTGGTCAACCATAAACCGCACGTGCCACGCCGTACGTATCCCTTTCCCTGTCTTGCGTGCCGCATATTCACATTTGCCTTTGGCAATCATAGGTGATGGCTGACATCCGTGATTTCACAGAGGACTGGTCCATGCAGATACCGACGATTCCAGTCCTCCTGAAGTCAGTCACTCACACCAAATTCCTTCTCACAATCGTTCATTTTCTAACCCTTCTGATCTTCTACCGCAATGTCTTCATTGTCCTCGGCTCAGTATACGCTACTATATTGGTCTGGGCACTAGATGAAAAAAGCGACAGGAAATTGTATCGACTCAGCTTCCATTCCCAAACACTCGTAGCCATTATCTACTGGATAGCCCATATGTATCCCAGTGCATAAGTAATCATGTAACAGTTAATTACCATGATGCTTCACACTAGTGCTACAGTCCTAGTTGCCCGAAGATGTAACCAGGACTGTGTGATCCGCGGCTAGATATCTCGTGTAAACATTCTTCGGGGATAAAGCGTATGTGGTTTTGGTACGCACTCAGCAATCATTTGGCTATGCCCGACTAGAAGGCAGACCACGTTTATTTTGGCGAAGGTTGAGCTACTGCTCATTTCACGGTTGAATCACACGAGGTAGAGCCCGAAACTGTATCATCGGGGAGATATTACTCTCAAATCCGACTGCCTGTGTACCTCCGGAGCTAGCCAACGGACGGCCAACACTACTACAAATTGGAGAAGGGCATAGACTATCAGGAAGACGACATTGATGAGTGATTGACACTACTCACATGTAGTCCAAATTCCTATAGTAGCTTACGGCGGCGCCACATAGATGGCCCCTCAAGAACCTCCGGGTCCGGCAAGGACGTAACACTACTAATACTGTCCTTGCCACTGAGCATATCGGATGCACCTGATGAAGAGCGGACATTTCTCCGCGATATCTTTGTCTTTTCCAGAAAATATCTAGATGGGCACGCCGGCCCCGAGAGGATGATAGGGAGCGGTTTCACCGGCAAGCCCGCAGAGCTAGACGGATTATTTGACAGATGGTGGCCCTGTATGCTGTTCCGGCCCACATCATTGTCTAGAGCTCTGGATAATAAGTCGGACAACGCCTGTCGTGATCTCGGACCAAGGAACCGAAAATAGTCCAAGATGCGGTACCGAAACATTCCTGGACCTGCAGAATTCCCCGGCTCAAAACATTGCTTCGAACGAGCATGGTAACAATTGAATGTGCCCACCTCACTTTGTAACTTGAGAACTGCGAGGGAGCAATGGTCTGAAGACATGGCCTATATACTGCAGCAGCGGGCTCTGGGCCGACACCCCGTATCCGTGCCATGGGGCTTACGCTGTAAACTTGCTGAGAATGAGTGTGACTTGAGGCGCAAGTATCCTCAAATGACATCCGGTGGAATTTTAGCAGTCGCTTACAAAGTGCATGTCATCATTTATATCGCATAGATACTGTATCTCCCACTAAATAGGCTGGGAAAGTAAATCAACAATAGCTTCTAGGCCGGGATTGCCGCCGAGCTGTTCCAACTCTCCACGCACTTGACACTCTAGTTTGTATAGTACGCGCTGGGTATATTCGAAAGAATGGGTCCGGTTCTTGAGGTAAGCTATGGCGTGATCTTTCAGAATGGGACTGGTGGTCCGCTTCTGTAGGATGCCTGTGAACGATTGTTGTGAGAGATACGCCCAAAGTTTAGGGAAGAGAATACTAACTCAAGAGTGATCGGTCGTTCCGGTTTGAGTTCACTCCATGGACAATCGGGAATGAAAATTTGCCTTCTGTAAGGTCTTCCGCGTACCCTTTGTTGGTCGCATACTGCGAGGGTATCAATGTATCTGAGTTTTCAGTGAAATAGAGAGATAGAGTCTCACATCCTTAGCACATAAATTACAGAAGTCGTCCCTGATCTGAAAAAATATCCCAAAATCGTTCACGAAGGGTATGTAATTCCTGGTTCATCCGTAGAGTCTGAGTTGGGAAGAGGAAATAAAGAGAATCAGACGCACAGTCCAATGTTGCGCCTTGCCGTTGCCATCATGAGACGTATTGCCAGCTGAAAGAGGCCGCCCGTCTCTGTAAAGGGTTAACTTGCGTCATATCCGTGGATACCTACGAAGATACTTACTGTTGTTTACCATCAGGATATAGTCTCTCTCGGATGGGCATTCCAAGGCGTCTCTCCATAGCAGGTCCAGACCTTGACCTCGATGCAGATTTAACAGCTCCTCTGCGAGGAATGGTTAAGTTGACTACATGAAGATAACCATACACCATAGAGGACATACCAATTACAATTGAATTCAAATCAGTAGAGGGATCCGAGGATTTTATGCGAGAGAGCTCCGCGAAGGCCTGGAAGTAGACGTAATTGGCTGTGTTAATAACTTGAGGGATACCATAGATTTTATGCGCGACTGGGACCATCGTCAGCGAATCCTCAGAACGTTCGCCTCTTGCGGCGAAGGGAACTCACCAGGGCTTCCTCGGCGTAGCTGGGAGTCGTCCTCGACGTCATCGATGCTGCCAGTCAAACAAAATTAATCATGAACGTATATAACGTGCTCGAGCAGATTCACAGGAGACTGGCATTGTGAAGCATGCCTATGACGCGGCCAATAACCGCTAGCTTGTCTTCCGGGACATCAAGCCATAGATTGAATGCATTTATCATCCGGGTGCGGATATCTTTGCCTGAGGTGGAGGTGATGTACTTGTATGGCTCCAATATCCTCTGCGGTGTATGTGCCTTGAGGAAGAATCTACGGGATATGGAGAGTGGATCTCACCTCTTCATCCTCTGGACTCCATTGAGCAGTCCGACAGAACTCATAGGTCGGCGCGGTACGACCGGTAGTCTGACCGTTCTGGGGAGCTGCTGGAGTCGGTGCTTGATTCAGGGCCATAATCGGGAACGCCCTAAAACTCTAGAGGGTCGGCCATTATGTACTGCAGTGCGTATAGTATGTCTCCACCAAGCCTGTTCCCAGGGCCTACTCCCAGTGTTACTCTGTTCCCGGAGTCAAAATCTCCAAATTAGCAAATGTCAAAGATACTCGTAATCCAGTGTGACTCCGGCGTATCTAATGCATTGTCAGAAGGTATCGCTTCACTTGCGCTTGACGAAGACCTTTTGTGGCGTGAAAGACTGAGTCTAAGAGCCTGATGTATCATGATATGGCACCGACGAAGTGGCGACGACCAATCGAATGCGATGCCACCATTTGGCCACCATATCCGAGCTGTGCCTCATGGGAGTACCTTTCCGCGTCGTAGGCTAGCGACGCTGCTGATATATCCGAATTTCCGGTGAAAAGAGCCTGCTGCCAGACCAGGCTTTCAGACTGAAACCCCGAGATCTCAAGTCGCTGTACCGGCGGATGTCGCTCCAGTTTTCCACTCAGAGATAAACGCCATTGATGTAGTAGGCTCGTACAAGAAGTGTTCGATGTGGGCCATTTCAAACGGGCCTGACATTCCTGCGCCCCGGATAACTTATCGATGCCGGAGCAGCGAGTCTAGCGCTTTTGGTCTTAGAAAATGCCGGAATAGCCCACACCTGAAGATGTTCCAGTGAATCCTCATATCGACATGGTAATCGCTGCCGCCGCGTCTACCTCGACTTAGTAGTACACCTCAGGGGCCATCAGGTAGAGGTTCAATGGAACAAACTCCCACCGGTGAGTACTGCAGGTCACTCCTCTCACAGTACTCAGAATGGCATGAGAAAGTCCCCCACTTCGGAGGTCCTGCCTCTTCTTCATTGAACTCCGTCACAGCTCCATATCTGTTAACGGGGGAGATATTGCCATACAATCCCACGGCAGGTCAGAGTCGCGATCGGGTATGCCTGGCCTGGACTATGTTGGGATCGGACATCACTTCCGTGAGTAGGGGCTCTTGAAACTTCCTGTCGTTGTCTCATGCCGTTTTAGCATGTATACCAGCGGGCATACCTTAGCATGGATGTCCTCCAGGCTGACTGCGCGCGTCAAGCTCAGCATCACGATATGTCAGAGTTGCTTCTACGAGATAGTTCGGCATCTTCTACGGATCTGTCTACCTCTCTGGGGTTGGTGCCGATGGTGTCCGTCGCAGCAGATGCTTTCCAAGGGTTGGCACTGAGCGTTGGCCGTGCCCACGGAGAGATGACCCGAAGTCATGGCCCCTGTTACTATTCCTGAGTATTTGTCCCGCTTTTCTCTTTTCGAATTTGGCCAGGAGCTCATCAACATTCCGTATCCGATTGCTGAGTTCCTGGTGGGACTAGGGGCGATGTCAAGGCACGACCAATGGAACCGAATGAAAACTCATCGCGGCCATTTTTCGTACATCCAATTGTGGCTCATCTCACTAGCATCTCACAGGACCAGCCGCCCTCAAACGCCGTTGGACTAGTCTAATGATTTAAGTACTACTGATCTCAGCCCCGGCCTTCGGGTTCTCACAACATCTCTCTGTTGTGTCAGCTGTGGACTCCCGTTTTCTGACGCACCATGGCTCTTACTTTCCTCGATATCGCACTCGCAGGCGTGCTAGCTGCAGTAATGTGGGTAGCGCGGGCCAGGACGTTCGGCGTTGATCGTAGCGCTAAGTTGCCGCCTATCGTGAAGTACAAAGTAAGAATGTGCACGTAGGAACCGAGAACCATGGGCTGATCAGGGCGGATGAAGTGGCCTATCCTCGGTTCGACCTTTGACTTTATCAAGGATCCTGCGGCATTCACTAGGACAGCATATCGAGAATACGGACCTGTATTTCGGGTTTACTTCCGAGGCCACGTCCAAGCCGTGGTCGGGAAAGACCACGTACGCGACATCTTCCTCAATCCGGCATTCAGCTATGAGGTACGTCCAACAAACCAGACACGAGCGCGAAAGAAGACAGCAAGGATTTACCACTACATAAATTCAGGAAGCCGTAAACGATGAATTCCATCTTGCCGATATGCTGGGGACGTCGCAGACGGACCTGGAGCCTCACAAACTATTCGCTGTGATAATCACGCCCCTACTGTCTCGTTTCATCCCGATTCTGTCGAACATGCTCACACGAGGCCTTGATATTGGTATCGAGTCGAATTTACGGAATGACGCGCCACTGCAAATTGCCAACCCGTCCGACCTCGTCATGGACGTCATTGCCAGGGCTACTACCGTTTGCTTTTTCGGCGAGGTCACCCGCGTTTTCGCATTCCCTGCCGATGAAAGACACTAACTTTCTTTCAGGAGCTTGGCAGCAACAGCGAGCTGATTCCTGTTTACAAGGATTTTGCAGCCTCTGTGGGGCATTTCGTGAACAGAAAGAGCCCTGTACTAGCTTTGTTCCCTTCGATCGCGAAGCTTTATATGTGGCAAGTTTCTTTCTTTGATCTGCTAACTATTCTAGTGACCTCTGAAGCAGGTGTAAATTTAAGTTATTTTCTCCTACAGCAGCCTATCGAGCAGCAGTCTTGAAACGTTAGCTTCATTCATCTGACGACCCGTTCCTCAGCTGCTCACCAGCGGACATGACAGATACAATGCCAATTGTCCATGAACGACGGCGCAAGATGGAGGAGCTAGGAGAGAGCTACCAACAACCTGTAAGTGTTTTATTATGACTGTTTCCGCCATTTTAGGATTGTTGGCGTAGGTGGATTCTCTCCAAGCGTACCTAAACACGGTACCTCCGGGGCAACCCGTCGACGAAATGGAGCTCGCCACGATGATGTTAACGCTCGTCTTCTTCTCCATTCATACCACAACCAAGCGTACCACAATCTGTCTCTATAATCTCGCAAAGTATCCCCAGTATCTACCTGAGCTTGTGCAAGAACAGAGGCAGGTTTTGGGCGACGATTGGGCTGATGGGACAGTAACCTTGTCGCATCTGAAGGAGCTTCACAAATTAGACAGCTTCATTCGCGAAAGTTTGCGCTTGAGCGGTCGAAGCATCGCATTACCCCACAAGATCATTGGAATGGATGAGTGGAGACTACCTGGCGGCTACGTCCTTCCGAAAGGTGCGTAGCAGATATTCGATGTCCAAAACATGCCCGACCTCATTGCATGTTTCTCGTGAAGGGACTGTGGTCAACATAAACACCGACGACGTCTATTACTCGCCTGAGCTTCAAGGCCCCGACCCTCGCGAGTTCAATGCATGGAGATTCCTCGGGACGGACAAAGGGGCCGCGCGGATTGGCCCTGATATGATCGCATTTGGGCTTGGGAGGTGAGGAGGCCGTTCTGGATGATGATTAGCACATTGCTGACAATACGTCCCTCCATAGGCATGCGTGTCCAGGTCGTTTCTTCGCGGTGCACGAAATGAAGATCGCACTGAGTCTGATTCTCAAGCGTTATCTAGTCACATTCCCTCCCGGAGTGCAGGGATCCGATACCGCACCGTTGTTGTTCACTCCGATTAAATCGTGTTGAGTGTACATACCATGTGACTGTCATGCACTAGCACAATATTACCTCCTATCAGTCCTCCTGAGACACCCACAGTTTTACTCTATCGCGGGACTCATTCGCTATCAAAATTCCTTCCTGATTTGTAGGCACTCAAGAAAGCCAGTGATCATCTCATCGTACGGGTACAACTAACCTGCCTGCGTACATGGACCTCTACGTATGACCCATAATAGATACAGGCTTGTATGGCTCTTCGATGTATGCAATCTCCTCCGGCGCCAGCTGCAGATGAACGCCGCCTGCATCAAACCCTTGAGCGAACTTAGAGCACATGTATGCGGCGAAGACTCTCACCAATGATGTCTTCCAAGTTCTTGAGTTTAGTGGTCCCGACGATTGGCGCCGAGATACCCTCTTTGCTTAGGATCCAGGCTATGCTGATCTGAGCCATGCTTACGCCTCGCTTCTTCGCGAGTTCCTCGATCCTGCAGTCGTCACGATTACTCACACATTCAGGAGTACATTACCGGACGAGTCATACCTGTTGACTATGTCGGTAGTACCCAGGCCTTTCCTATAAGTCTGGATGAACCTTCACGACAGACGTCAGTAATGTTATATCGGATGAGTAACGCATGGCTTCTTACCAGTCCGTCTCGCCACGCAGTGTCTGCTCGCTGAGTGGTCTGGTGATTAGCCCTCTAGCAAGAGGGGACCAGGGAATGGACCCAACACCGAACATCTGCATCGTCATGTTATGACATCCACTCTCGCAGAGTGTTCTACCGACGTTACCTTCAGGGTAGGGAACATCTCACGTTCTTCTTCACGGTAGATAGCGCTGTAGTGGTTCTGCATGGAGATGAACGGCGTTAAGTTGTGGGTGATTGCGTAGTCTGCATCAGGGACCAGGCGTCAGGGGCAGCATGAGAGCACAAGGTTAAACAAGGATCTCACTTTGCATGGCCTGGACTGAGAACCAACGTTTATTAGAGGGCGAAACCCGAAGGCGCCGGGCGACAACTTACATTGATATGCATAGCAAGAACTCATGCCGATGTACCGTACGTAGCCCGCCTTCACGACATCATGCAGGGCTTGCATCTACTCAGGGGCCTGTTAGAACGACAGGAGTCGGCATAGAGGAGGTCCACGAACTGTCTCCTCGAGAGGCGTCTGAGGGTCGAATCGATGGCCTGTCATCCTGTTAGTACACTGGCAGTTCCGCGGCAACCATGAAGAGCAGACTGAGTCACATTGCAATACGTCAATATAGTCCAGCTGGAGGCGCTCCAAGCTATGCTTGACCGAGTCGAATATGTGCTATGGCACGCGCGTCCTCGTAAGTCTACATGTGCCCGATTACTTTTCGAACACACCTTCCGGCTCAGCCCGTACTGATTGACCAAGCCCATGGAATCCTCCTTGCCACGCAACGCCATTATTGGAATTCCGTATTCTTTGGCAACAGGGTTATAGACCTAGAACGCATACGCTAATAAGGTACTTTCTTCTCGTTGTCAGGTCATCCACGAACCTTTGTTAGTACGACGATTTCCTCCCGAGGAAGGTTCAGCTCCTTGATAGCCTTCCCGAGCATGATCTCTGATAGACCGTTGGAGTACGTCTGTGGAGAAGTTAACAGGAACAAGAAGGAGAAGCATCCGAGTTCGGTACGTTGGCAGTATCGAAGGCATTTATGCCATGCTCGTATCTGTTTGTCCTGAGTCTCTGGCGGAGCGCTATAAATCCCACTGCACATACGCGTATTTGATGTGGCTTGTAACTTCCTTCTGGTCGTCAATAAGCCAGTCTCCCCAACCCTTATGCCCATACTGCATGGTGCCAAGTATGATCTTCGAAACCTTCAGGCCTGACGCTCCAAGCCGAACTGGTGACAATGACCTCAGTAAGACCAGCGAGATACCTGTCCGTGGATGGTGGAACGCACCATACGGTATTTTCTTTGGGGCCGTCGACATTTTCTACGAGTGCAACTTCCACACACTGAGACCTGCAGAAGGTTGGCTTGCCCAACTCCTCGGTGCTCACTCTTATGTGCAGATTGCCCCACGCTGAGTCATTTCATGGTTCTCATCAATGATAACAGCTATCGCGAGTGCGACGCGAATAGGCTAGAAAGGACCAGCGCTTACGTTCAGCGAAACTGCAGATGATCATGTAATTTAATTGTAGCTGCGTCACAGCAGAGATGCCGCAGAGGACGCGTATGGCTGTGAAGGGAGGCAATTTCAACGGGAGGGGATATATATCTCCGGCAGTGTTCTAAAGCTGGCCAGCTGTATGTTGGCTTTGGATTGATTAATGTGAGGCAGTGGCGTGGGTGGCCTGAATGTTGAGGCCAGGGCTAAATCCGAGTCGAGCAGCTTTAAACTTCTTGACAGCAGCATTCGTCGCGGCAAAAAAGCGAATCAAAAGGCTCAGGAGTGGATTTCTTTGTCATGCTCATAGAGGATACCGAATTGGCTAGCGCTTTAGATCTGCAGCGAGATGAGCCAAAAATGAGCCTCAAAGTCCAGTGAAAACCCACAATCTTGTAGTATGTTTCAGTAGTTTAGATCTGCTGTGAGCTATTACACATTGTTTCTATTCACTCCTGTGAGACCGCTCTGAATGTATACCGTTGCGCCCGTCATGGATTGCAGTATTGCCCTGCTTTACATCCTGCAATATGAGATGTCTTGGACGAAACCCGTGATATATCGTCGTATCATGTACGGTTGGATTTAATGACCTATAATGGCCACAGGCTTGTACGGCTCCTCGATATGCGCAATCTCCTCCGCCGTGAGCTGCAGATGCACGCCACCTGCACCACAGCTCTGTCGGTAAACTCAAACTTGCACAACGGGCGAAGAAGCTCACCAATGATGTCTTCCAAGTTCTTCAGCTTCGTGGTGCCGACGATCGGCGCAGAGACCCCTTCACCAAATGATTGATAATGGTAACTTAAGACATGCTAAGAAACGGCCACGTACCCTCTTTGCTTAAAATCCAAGCTATGCTGACCTGAGCCATGCTAACACCTCGCTTCTTTGCGATTTCCTCGATCCTGCAGTCGGAACGATTACTCACGCGTTCGGGGGTACATGAATGGACGGATTATACCTGCTGATTATGTCCGTAGTGCCTGGCCCTTGCATGTAGCTCTTGATGAACCTTTACCACAGATATAACGCCGCACCCAATGAAGGTCAGTTGATTCTTACCAGTCAGTCTCGCCACGCAGTGTCTGCTCGTTGAGTGGTCTGGTGATCAGCCCTCTAGCGAGAGGTGACCAGGGAATGGACCCGACGCCGAACATCTGCAAGGTCGTGTCATAAGCTCCAGTCTGGTATAGCATTCTACAGACGTTACCTTGAGAGTAGGGAACATTTCACGCTCTTCTTCACGGTAGATAGCGCTATAGTGGTTCTGCATGGAAATGAACGGCGTTAAGTTGTTCTTGATGGCGTAGTCTGAATGATGAACGGAGGGTCAGACCGCACAAGAGCACAAGCTTCGAGAGAGATCTCACTTTGCATAGCCTGGACTACAAGGAATGTCGATCAGAAGGCCTAGTTGAAGAGATCGGACAATAACATACACTGGTACGCGTAGCAGGAGCTCATTCCAATGTAACGGACGTAACCAGCCTTCACGACATCGTGCAGGGCGTGCATCTACACAAAGGGTAATTCAAATGGCGAAAATCAGCTAATAATCATACCACTCACGGTCTCCTCGATCGGCGTCTCAGGATCGAATCGATGGCCTATCATTCCGTTGACGTTAGTACGACCCTGCAACATTTTGTTGGGAGCTGAGTGAGTTACATTGTAAGACGTCGATATAGTCCAGCTGGAGACGCTTCAAGCTGTGCTTGACGGAGTCAAATATGTGCTGTGACGGGCAAACTCGTAAGCCTGAATAACCATCCCTAGCCATCCGAACATACTTTCCGGCTCAAGCCGTGCTGATTGACCAAACCTATGGCATCCTCCTTGCCGCGCACCGCGGTAATTGGGGTACCGTATTCTTTGGCAACGGCCGCATAGACCTGCGACGCACGTTGCGTAATTGATATGTATATCTTCGCACCAATGAATCGCTCACGCACCTTTGTCAAGACGACGATTTCGTCCCGAGGGAGGTTCAGCTCTTTGATAGCCTTGCCAAGCATAATCTCGGACAAGCCATTGGAATACACCTGTGAAGAAACGATCGGAAACGAGAAAGAGCGGTAGAGTAAGGGCACATACGTTGGCGGTATCGAAAGCATTGATGCCATGCTCGTATCTGTTCCGCATGAGTCTCCGGCACAGTATCGCAGAGCCTACTGAACGTACGCATATTTGATGTGCTCTGTGACTTCCTGCTGGTCGTCAATGAGCCAGTTTTGCCAACCCTTGTGCCCATACTGCATTGTGCCAAGAATGATCTTGGACACCTTCAGCCCAGAGGTTCCAAGGCGAACTAGTGAAGGGAAACCAGTTGAGACCGGCCAGATGACGACCTCGAAGGTCCAACATACCATACGGCATTTTCTTCAAGGTCGTGGTAGCAGCCGACATTTTCTGTGGTGGGCAACTTGGGCACACTGAGACCTGCTGAGGTTACCTCGTCGATGTCGTCGGTGCGCGGTGTTATATATGCAGCCCGCTCGAAGCTGAGTCATGGTATCAATGATAACGGCGAACGTCGCAGACTCGGCGAAGACGGCGCATACTGCAGATGATGAAGTAACTCAGCCGTAGCTGCGTCATGCAAGAGATGCCGCGGAGGACGCGTACGCCTGTGAAAGGCACGAATCAGCAAAAGGAGATACATATTGCCGGGCAGTCCTATGAAGTTGGTCGGGCTCCAAGCTTAAGCTTCGAAGCAGGCCTCAAGCTTCAGGTACGAGCCGGCTCTCAGCCGACGATTTAGGACTCCGGCGAACCACCTCAACGTAGAAATTGGCTTTCGCGAGAGCGCATTCGTCGTAGCAATACGGTAAGAGATTATAGAATGCCCCAGCTATGGCTTTCTAGCTACACCGAGGAAGCTAGCTCAGATTCAGGGCTAAATATCCGATAAGGTAGCCACATGTGACAGACGTAGCGTGACTCAAGTCACTTGTATGTGGCCACAGCGCTGAAAGGTGCTGTCCTGCAGCATGGCTCCCTCAACCCCACCTTCGTCTGTACTATCACCGTCAGGCCCAAGTATCTAAAAGCGATTTCACCTGATATAACGCGCGACGCAGAGAGCTGTATGCCAAGATCAGTCAAGGTACGCGTATGATATCGGGTAGGTTGACTGCCTTTGTTCTGACGGTGAACTCTCCGCAGACGGACTCCGGAGACGAGGCTGCTTGGGAGGATGTTTCGAACGTAGGCGCAAGCGTCACAGGCCGCAGTACACGCACTGTGAGTCCAGCCCCGTCGCTGCGTTCCGCACCGGGGAGCCCGGGCACCAGGAGGCGCCGACCTTATAAGACCCTGTATGTCGCTGCTTCACCCCGAAAGCAATATTCCACTCCCGCCCCTCCCCCGCGGGCATCTCTTTCCAGGCAGCAGAGTGACAGCGGCCTAATCAAGGATCAGCTCGGCGAAGCTGTTTCGTCCGGCGCGCTGTTTACGGTGAGATATGTATTCGATGTGTTTGCCCGCGCCGTGCGTCTTCTGCGCATCCCTTTTTCCATCCTACTTGTCGTCTGGATTCTGGCATTTGCGGCTGGGAAGTTATCCGATAGCATACGGCTTGTCTTGTCTCCTCTGTGTATCATCCCGGGTGTATCATCCTCCGCGCTATGTTCCTGGGATGACGGCTGGGACGGGCGCAGCGCTCGATGGGCCGACTACCCCAAACTAGTGGATATGCAGAGCAGCACCTTTGAACAGCTATTGGACGAGTCCGTAGGAGGCTCTGGGCTCGCCTTGGAGATCAAGAAGGCCGAAATTGCAACGTCGGACTTGACTACCCTTGTCCGCATCAGTGATTTGAACAGCCGGGATCTGCTTGCGGACTCGCTGTCTGGATTTGTCGAGGAGGCAAAGAAGACGGGCAGGGGCTTGCAGAAGTTGAGTGCGAAGATCGGCGGTGCTGTCGACAGGTGCGCATACATCTACCTTCCTCGCGTCCTGCTATTTACCGGACAATAGTGTTATGGCAGTCAACGATCAGGCGTTGCACACTATCGAAACGGCAGGCTCCAAGGCTGATAACTCGCTCATGAAGTCTATCTGGCCATTCTCGAAACCTCAATCGAAGAAAGTCATTGCGGAAACATTCACAGAGGCCATGGATGTCCTCTCCTCCTCTCTCGAGCGTGTCATCCTCGAAGCCCAGCTCCAGCTATCGAACTTGGACAAACTCGAGCAACACCTGACGACGCTGCACGAGGTCGTCTCCCGCGAGGACAGCTCGCTCTCCTCCGCGAAGACGGAGCTCCTCTCGAACCTCTGGACGAAGCTCGGCAGGAACCGCAAGACGCTCCGCAGCTTCGACCAGCACCTGAAGCTGCTGAAGAACGTCGGCGGGTACCGCAAGCGCGCGCTCGCGCACGTCGTTGGCGCGCTGCAGACACTGGAGGCGATGAATGCAGATATCGAGGAGCTCCGCGAACGCGTGGCGGCGCCGCAGCTGCTGGGCGAGAAGGTGAGTGCCGAGGTGCATATGCGGAGTATCAAAGTGGGCCTCGAGAGGCTGAAGGATATGAGGGTGCGTGCGAAGGAGAAGGAGGAGGAGGTCATGAGGAGGGTTTTGGACATCGATGGATATTAGGTGTGGGGATTGCTTTGATTTCTGGGCAGTCATTGTATGTATTTCTTGAATTCACATGTGTATTTATATGTTGTGTCTGTACTGGATCTTTGCTGTCTGACTACATATCCCCGGTGTATGTGATGTGCATTGGGGAGTTGTAGTGAGATAACAATTATCTGGACTCTGCGGCTCTTGAGGTCATCTTCCTCCCTCAAGAGTACCTACATGTGGGGCCCTCATCACGCGACCCTAGTTCCGGTGCGTTATATCCATGCACCATTTGGGACTGGACTCTAACCCGGGCAATGTCGTCATGATTCAAGTTTAGTGGACGAGGCCTATAGCGCACTGCGTGTCTGGCCCAAGTGCTAGATACTCTCCGTTCGAAGCCTTGCCCGTGTCCGAGCCGGAATGGACGACGAGAGGTATAGCGTATCCGCTCTTTAAACATTCTGTTCAGCAGAATTGCTGTCCACCTTGGACCCTCTCAACCTTCGAATACGTTGCTGCCAACTGAGCACACCGGCAGGGCCGCTTTGGTCTCTGTCTGCTGGTGCGACCACTTGCTGTTCGGGTCCGCATTCATGTCCATCATGCAACGCCGGCACAACCCAGCTCGGTGCCTTGGTATCTACTCCGTGTAAGTTCTAGTGCTTGAGGGCATTGCCTTGACTACTAGTCTTAAGGCCTGAAGGTTTGCAACCCGCGCGGCATCGCTGTAATATTCTGAGCACATCACCTCAATGACCTCGCGGAAGGTATCCGCTGCCATGTTCTCCAGCGTCCTGTTTAGGATGTTATCTTGTTGTGAGTAACGCGCGCAGTCCGGTGGCAGATGGTGGCACATCATCTATCACGACCGGAGTCCGACCCGGAGACGACAGCCGCCACTGGGTAGCCTCTATCGCAATGAGGTCCGCTTGTATGTCTTGCATGGGCTGCTCAATATTAATGGGTATGATCCATGCTTATGAAGTCTTTCAACCGTGTAACTAACGAGCGATGAATGCCATGTTTAGAACGCCTCCGCGATCATCTAAGCGAAGGGTATAATTGCGATCGTACTGATTGAAGGACACCTTTTGTACGCTCCATTCTGGAATGGAATGTGGGATGAAACTCGATCGGTTACTAACGTTCGTCCCGCCTCCTTTCCCATAAAGCGCGAGTTCGCAAGCGGCAGGATACCGCGTTGTGGCTTGTGCATTGTCCAGCATGCGCTCTGCGCGAGGATAGCCACATGCTGCAATGCGTCGGGCTACATCGGTTCCCGGGAAAAGCGACAGCCAGGCACGGGCCGATTCCGGGATCTTAGATTATATCGTACTGCTCCTGATTGTTGATTGGTGCGTGGCTTCTTGACTATACCCGAAAAGGCAGTCAATGCTAGACAATTAGCAGCGTGCGATACCTCCCGCTCTACCCGTGCAATGTGTCTGTCCTGCTTATTCGACTTCTTCCTGCTCGATACCTATCCCAGACTGCACCAGAACTCCCCGTAAGCCCTTCCAGGCCAAACAGTGCGTTTTCAGCGTCCAGTTCCACTAGCGGCAGCTGATGACCGATTGCGCAGCTGCCATATCAACACGGCTTCCTTATCTGCTACGGCCCTACGGGGGACTTCACCTGACCTCGGGTTCTTGGCTGCAGTTGCGAGCGGACTGGGCGGAGTATCTGTTAGCGGCGCCGGGCAATTGAAGCCAGCGGGGAGACCCTAGCCATGTTAATGAGCGACCTCACCGTAAGCCTCCTGGACTGAAACGAGGAGCATATCTGATGCTACGTCCTTACCATCCCATTCCTTCAAAGGGCCAGGTGGCTGGGCCTCCAAATCCTAATGTCAGTACATCATGTCTTCCACGCCACATTTTCCATCCGTGCTTTCGCTCACCAGGCGTATAGGCCTTCAAAAGAGCAGTGTATCGTCCTGCACCCGCGAAGTTCACCGTAGAGATGCTCTCTCCTGCCAAGCAAGGCGCGTAGTGTGTCAACCATCCAGTCTGACTCATTCCTTACCCATTGTCCAGGTTCCAGCTTCAGCTATGGGATGCGGGTATGTCCCATGGGCGAAGGTGAGGACGTGCATTCGATGCGGTCGGACAGTTCCCGCGCCGAGTACGAAATATGGAGGCGCTGGGAGGATTGCCTGTGGTTCCAGGACACTTTGGAGCTGGAATATGCCACGCTATCCCGCGAGAAGCGACATCGTCTGCAGGCAGGGAAAGGCATCAAAAAGAACGGGATATACATCCACGATGCAGCAGCTTCTTTCGAGTCGCTCCCGCCCGGCCCCGATCCTAACTCTATCGCGAAAGACATCCACGAACATATTCCGAAGCTGACGAAGAAAGGCACCTTGTTCCGTACCAGCCAGGCTACCGTTGAACAGAGGAACAAGGAGTTCACCGCGCTGATCGACGCGTTATTCAGTGAGGATATGCCCACCTTGATCAAAGATCTCAGGGAGTCGCGTGAGGTTCGGGATTTTTTTGGGTACTGGCGAAGGGACCGTGATCTGGCTAGGAAAGCAAAGGATGCTGTGGGTAAATCCCCCCGTACGTCTGTCGCGACAAGCGGCCTTTCCATGTATTTCTCTGCTTCGACGCTTTCGCTGCAGTTCCCTCCTCTTGTATCTGTCGATGTCCCTGCCAGCCCACCGGCGCCCAGGTCTGTCGCAAAATCTGCCTCGGTGCCCACTGCTGGACCGTCTGCTGCTCGCGGTCGGTCCATCCTCCAGAAGCCGGATGCGTCAAGTTCGCGACATGGGTCCGCAGCTGTCAGCTTCAGTTTGTCCAACAAGAGTTCTTCCTCGGAGGACTTCTCTTCGGGTTCGAGCTCTCACGGAAGTCATCCATCCAGAAGTCAACGGAACAGTGAGTTCGACATACAAGAGGTTCCAGTCACGTTCTTAGGGGGAAGCGCCCCTTCTTCGGCGTTACTCCCTGACGAACCTGCAAAGCTCCACGCTCTACCAGAGGAGCCGGAATTCCATGAGGCTCTGAGGACCATGACCATCTCTAACCCTTCAGATGTTTCTGTTCCGGCGCGCCGCAGGGCTCGCACGATGTCTTCTCACGACCGAATCAACAGACAATGCATAGTCTTTGCAAGCCCGCCTCAGAGCCCGGCTTCGACTTCGATGTCCCAAATCAGTGAGCGGCCGTCCATGGAATCGACGCGCTCGTCTGTGTCGCCCTCGATGATCGAGCTCTCCGAATCCATCATGGCCGACAACCGATTCGGAGATATAGACTCCTCGTCGTCGTGGCGCTCGTCGGATGCATTCTCTAGCCCCTCGTCGAGGCGCTCGTCCTGGCGTACCTCGGTGTCGGACATGCCGCCCCGGCCGTCGTCGAGCCAGGAGTCGTACTATACCCGCGCCTCGTGCGTGGACCTTGACCTGCCTTTCACCCGAGCTCCTATCATGCTACATACGCCACTTGACTCGTCGTATCGGTCGAGGGCGTCCGTAGCAAGCATGGCATCGATACTAACGGAATCATCAGCGGATGCAATTATTCCGCGGACGGTTTTATCCCCTCCTACAGCCAGCGCTGCTTCATTGAGGCGCTCCCTCTCCGTGGGATCTAGGCGGCAGGCTCACTTCAGTTACCCTTCTTCTGTTATTGAAGAAGGCCAGAGAACGTGGGAAGACGGAGAAGGAGACGACTTGCTAGAATCGTATCTCTATGGTAATGTGATTAATCCTTCAACTTGACTTAGATATTGACTTGTTGCTAGGTTCTTCTCTTTCCGATTCCGAGCAGCCGCCTTCGCCTACGTTCCCCGAGGCTGCAAGTGGGCCTTCGACTCCAGGACCTTCTACGCCAGGCGGGGCGACACCATTGCCTACGACTCCAGGACGAACACAAATCAACATGAACCTTTCTCATCCAGAGTACTTCCCCAAGCCATTCCAGAATAGACCACCCGGCCAATTCCATATCCCATGGTCGCCCAAGGCAACAGAGGAAGATGCAGGAAACCCAGCTGAGAGCAGCTTCGCTGTCAAGGCCGTACACGGAGATACCATCATCGCTTTCCGCACGTCTCGAATGACGTCTCTGGTACAAATTCGTAAGAAACTCGTGGAGAAATTCTCCTCGCAGGAAGAGAACCCGCTCGCAAACACATTTGCCCTAGGCTACCTACCACCGCCTGGGCAGCGCGGCAAAGCGGCTGGCGGCCGTCCTCGTTCCAGCTCTGTATCATCTGTTGGCGTCTTCGATACAAGTAAACTGCGATACATCTCGTCTCAAGAGTCATGGGATGAAGCCATCGCGACGTGTGGAGGAAAACTGACCTTGCGCATTATTGATTGATTTCGACATTCTACTCAGTTCGAACGAACGGTTTCTCACCGGATTTCTTTGCATTACTACGCTTGTTTACATATCTTCGTCTTCTATGCTGTAGAAAGTCACTGTCTTCAATTACGCCAATGTGGAATGATACTGTACATTGAGGAGCAATACTACGTTTATTAAGGATCAGTTCGGCCTGGGGGGCAATGCACACATGCGCCTCAAGCGCCGACGGGCGTCTGCGACATCGCAGCGGGAGCGGTTGTATTGCGTGGTACACCGACTATAGGCGCACCTACTGGCAAAGGTGACCTGGTCCAATCTGGCAGGACGCTGGCAGGGTGACGGGGACCACTATCCATGAGGTCGTCTTGGTCGTCAGACTGGCGGGATTCCATTTCGTCCCACTTCTCTCGCGTGACCTCGGAGCCGCCGATCTTCATGGCGCTGGAATTGATTGATCAGCCGGTGGTGTAGTGAAGTCGAGTACCGACATACCCTGCCAGGGAACCTCCAACCCAAGCCATGAGCGAAGGCACAAAGGCCGGCGCCTTGCCGGAGTTAGCAGCTGCCCTCTGACTTGCCACGGCAGGACGTGCTGAAGGATTATTCAGGACGGCGAAGTAAGGAATGAGAGCCCGCAAGGGGGCGTATCTGTCATACGGAGGCACAGGTGCCCTGTTAGACCGACCCGACTGCCTAGGTGAGGCCTCCGGTGGAGCTAAAGCTTTTATAAGCTCTGCATGTAGCCGCGGGATGAATCCGGGCAACATGGACGTGCCACCGACTACGAGTATTGACGATGCCATCGTCTTCCGTAAGTCGACGGGAACCTGGGGTAACGGATTGTTATATCAACGTCTTCATAAGAGGCACAATGATGGCATACCTTCAGTAGTGATTCTAGTATCACCTCCGCCACGCTACTCTCGTCCACGTCCCCTCCCTCGAAGAGAACTTCTGCTGCTCTCTCCCGTATCCACCCAGGGATAATGAGCGTCCCTCGACCTGTCCCGGTTTGTTGAGCGGGAGGTGGTACAACTTTCATACGTAGGTCAGTCGCGGTCGAATGTCGAGTGTACATAGTAGCTAGCGCTTGCAGATGGTTTTCGCTCCGGTATCTCCGCTCAGCTGGGGGCAACTGAGAATGAGATACAATGGAAAACCCGGAGGGCGCATGTTGCTCCGAAGGGTTACTGTCTACATCCATGGAAACTCGAGAGAAGTCAGACTCGGACTGCGTAGCATCGCTTATCGGCGGCAGATCGAGTTCAGTTGACGGCTCTTCCCCAGGGGATGTAATGGCTGTATCAGAAGGCTCAAGTGCGTCACCGACAAAGCAACATCTAGTCTTGATTTCTTCGACGACCGCATCCGTGAGGACCTCTTGTGGGACACGCGATGATCGAGCGGCAGCAGGGATGTTGGCAGCAGCGCTAAGGGATGTGGGCGGGGGGAGGTATGTTCCGAACAGCAGGAGTAGTGCGCGTAGGTGAGAAGTCAGACGTGAACCAGCGAGGGGCGTGTTTCGGAGCTGATGGTAAAGCGGACGAGCGGAGAATATCTACTTTGCCTCATAAGGTCTACCGAGGAATAGATATCCAGTCTGGACCTACCGGTAGCACGGTGGACTCGAGGTGGCCGCAGTCGAGGACGAGTCCTGTGATTCTCCCTACTGCTAATAATGAGAGGAGATGGCTTGACGCGAATGATATTGAAGGAACCTGGGAGAGTTAGCTCACCTCCTGGGTCTGTCTCAAGTATCTGACAATACCTGCAGATTGGTGAAAAGGATACGAGCCATCTTTTCCTTTACGTGCAGAGGCAATAGTGGATGTTCCACCAAGATGACTTTCCGAGACTTCGGATCCGTTAGCAGGGAGCTATAAGTCTGCCCTTCAGCGCACATCTCACAGGACACAGCGCCGTACTCACTCGTGGAAGACGGATCTCAGGCATCTCTCCAGCTTGATCTCCAGCATTTTGTCCTCTTCTTCTCGTTCGACGACATCCGTGGCTCTATTCAGGGTCCACAGCCTTTCCCCGTCTTGCCCACCTGCCCAGAAGACATCTCTTGGTTTGCCCTCTCCGCTGAACCCTACCTTCCAGATGTGAGAGCCAGGATCAATAATGACTCTGTCCTCAGTTCCATAAAGTGAATGTCGACGGGTAGTAGGATAGTGGGGTGATGACTGAACAATGGAAGCAGCAGTTCTGCTTATTGCAGGGGTAGTAGGGCCTCCGGACGGTGTCGTAGGCTCGTATGAGTCGGTCGTTGTTCGACGAGGCGTCGATGGTACCGCAGACATCAGCCAGCCTTGACGTTAGAAGGGTCTCGGCGTCATGAAAGAGTTGTTGCAATAGTCGCAGCCACCGAGCGCGAACAAAACGCGAGACTAATTACAGTGCTTTGCATAAAAATCCGGAAACCGCGACTCGCGAAATGTTGTTTGTGCCAGCCAAACAAACCTATATGGGGTAGTCGATCATCGTAGCGCGGGCTGTTGACTGGTTGGCGGGACGCTTCGACATCCATGTATGAGGGTCCTTCTTGAGGGATTTTGACCTCTGCGTGCTCGATATCCTGAAGAGATACAGATCTGAACGTTATTCAGCCTTGAGACGGGCATTTGTGTCCCAGGAGTGATATAGGCTGACTCGAGGACCGTCGCGCCCTCGGTGTTACCCTATAAGGTATTGTTTGGCTGGGACAAACAGAAACGCGCAGTTTCCGGACTTTTATGCAAAGCACTGTACAGGTTGAGTTCGAGAGAAGCTCGACTCATACCAAATTAGTCAACCACTATTGGCAAACTATTGGAAGCATGAATACAAGCACTGGATATTTCAAGTCCCATAAGCCGCCTATGCGGTATACAAGAACAAGACTCCTGGCCAGCAGCAGTACCGACGGATACATCGACATACAGTGTGACTATGTGCACTTCACTTATGAGGCCACCGGCGGTGCTCCTCGCCCTCTGCCTCTTGGCCCTCGGAATGGACCACCCCTGCCTCGGTCAATCACGGGCGGCATACCTCCACGGCCACGGAAATTAGGACTGAAACCTCTTCCTCCTCTTGGAGCGAAACCCCTCGGGTGAGGTGGGACGAAGCCGCCCCTGGAAGCCACTGGCGGAAGGTGGTTTGCCTCGCCATTGACACCGTTCACGGAAACTGGTGGTGAACCTGCCATGGCGGGCCGTGCTTGCGCAGGTACCACATGAGCTCCATTCGCTGCATGAGGTGGAGCTCCACGGCCGTTAGTATGCGTACCCCGCCCATTGACGTACGCCCCGCGACCTCTGTTGGGATTGGCCAGGATTTGTACAGACGATCCTCGGCTGTAGAGCATCGTGAATAAGGATGCGTCAAGAAACTAAGGAGAACTAACCTTGCTCCCGCAGGTGCTGGGTGGAAACCACCGACAGGTGCTTGCCCCGGCGGTGGTCGGACAGCGGGATACGGGCCAAAGCGCGGTTTGAATGGAACCTGCGGCTGATGCGGCGGTGGCCCTCGTGGCTTTGTCGATGCGACGTACTGGGGATCGGTGAGATTCAAGCAAGTGTTGAACTCTACAGTCGATCCACGGTAAGGCGAGCAGCTGTTCCATTTGTATTGAGACTAACGATAAACTTCGCTCAATGTTCGACACGTACCGTCCACCCAGCGTAGTCCCAGCCATAAAGGGCACATCCCACACCACGTCCATGGACTTGGCGTTCAGGGCAATAACGACTCCCTTTGCGGATAAGGGCACACTACCGGAGTCTCGTACCATAGTGACTCTATCTCCCAGACCAAACCTTTGATTCTGCAGCCGATAGACAGCGTGTGATGGCTTGAGAACAGCTTGCCGCGGGATGCCTTTCACAATGGCTTTCTTGATTGCAGACGGTGACCTGCCTTCAGTGAATTTTGCCTGCAGGCCCTCAATCTCTTTCACGGTTTCCTGGTACAGACGATTTAAGTATATATAGAATGGTATAACTTGAAGCATCAGCATACCTTCTTCAGTTGGTCACAGAAGAGGGATACTGGCTCAAAGTCACGGACGCCTTTGGTTGCCAGCCAGGTACGGAGGTCCTTCACTTTCTTATCACTGTCCTCACCTGAGAAGACATCGTACGCCTTTGTCATGGCTGCCGCGGCTTCAATTGACCTGCGAGACGGTGGTAGAAATCCGGCACATACCATCGCCAGATCTCTCAACAGCCCTGAAGACTTCTGGAGCCTTCGCCTACGGAGGGAATAGTAAGACGCGTCCGAACACGGATAAAATGACAAACCTTGTAGTCGCGGATGAGTTGTACAGCTTTCTCACTGAACTCCCAAAATCGTCCATTCTTGCGGGAGTAGTCGATGACCTTCATACCCTTGGCCTCGAACTTAAGACTGAGTCCCAAGTTGACCTTTTGACCATCCGACGTGATGACCATAAAGCTAGATGTGATCTTGGCAATCGCCTTGGAAGAGGCCCCAACGATTTCAGCAACGTTGAACGAGGGATAGTATCTCTCTGACATGCGATTCCGCACAACAGACTTGAACTCTTCATTCTCCGCCTTGTCCGACGGGAAAAACTAAACGAGACGGTCAAAATCTGTTTCGAATCATACCAAGGGATGACTTACCGCCAAAACAACGGACAGCGAGTCTTGTGTGGTGCCCGTGATTTGAGCAGCAACTCCATAGGCATGCTCGCCGAGGAAAAAGACTTTGCTGCCTTCGGGGAATTCTTCTGACAGAGGAGGAGCTTCCTTCTCCATGAAACGAGGGTCCTCTGACATCACCTCTGTAACTGCCATCTGTAAGACCTGCTCAACTTCTTTGTCGCCATCCTCAAAAGCCTTCACAAAGGCGCCTGAATCGAGACGCTTGAGGCCTTTAAAGAACACGGATAAATAGAAGGTGACAGTCAAGTGTAGCTGCTAACCTTTCAAAGGGCGAACATGGATGAGCACCTCGATATCACCCGTGATAACACCACATCGCTTCGAGTAGTAGTGCTCAATCCTGTCGGCCTTGCCTCTCCACATAGACAGGCCTTGCTGGCTATGAGGGTTGGACACGACCTTCTTAGGGGCGCCAGGCACCACGGTCATCTTCTCGTACTTGAACAGGCTATCGGACACCGCGACAACTAGGCCCTCACGGAGGAAGGGCCAACCAATAAACACTCGTTTACCGATCATTTCCTGGGCCACAGCCTCAGTCTTCTTCTCCTCGTGCGTGTTCTGGATATGCACGATCATCGATTTATTTCGGCTTTCACTTCCATGAACGTTAACTCCGTGATATCCAAGCTGCGCGGTGTGGGGTAACGTCTTCAGCGACGGGAAGCCAGCCAAGGCCTCGGCACCAAGGCGAACACCCTCCAATAGCCCAGGCACCAAGTGCAAACCGTCGATCGTGGGCAAATAGAACGGCTCCATGCGGCACGTACAACGATGAAGCGTCGGGAAGAAACCAGGAAGGGAAGACGGATATTCTGTAGGCTCTCCGTCACTATGGGTGAATCTATAACTGGTCCCAAAGCTATTGCGCTGTCGTTCTTCCTCCGTGAGCCGTGGCTCCCGCGCTGTCATACGGGTGAGTATTCAAATCAATGAGCAAGTCCCTACTAAGCAATTCTACGCACGGGCCATGGCCTTCAGAAGGCGTTGCTCATCTATGAACGGGATCTTCACAACCGCCTCCCAGTCTTGCTTCTTACCGTTCAAGTCTTGTTCAAACTCGAGCGGATAGAAGTCAAGTATGGGCGAGGTAGGATCATACATGAGATCCTGTTCGACAAGGCTAGCGTAAGGACAGCAGGGAAGTGTGAAGAATAATAATTTTTAACGTACCCGGTACGCCAAAGGAATCAGCTCCTTGCTAGCTTCTGGTAAGACACCCATAAGCTGCTCGAAAGGTCGGAAGGGTTTTCCGAGTTCAAAGTGGAATGTCATTTCGTCTATGCCCGTCAGATCTGCCTCGCAACAGGTTAGAGCATTGTTTTGTATGCCTGAACAAGAACAGACTAACCTGAAATCCGAGGAGCGTAATGATAGTCATAGAACCAACTCCAGGAAGCCACGCCACTGTAGTAGTAATGCATGACCCACTGCAAGCCTTCCACATAGCGGTATATCAGTGCATGCATTTGCTCCGGGTTGTCGTATGAGATCTCCAGCTTGTGCTAAACGGCACCTATCCACAGCTAGATCTGAACCATAGAGCAAAGAACGCACTTTATAGTATTCCCTCTTCCACTCGTCCATCTTCTGCTTCATCGACATCTCGTACCTCGCGTCGAAACCTCCGTCAGCGCCCGGATCCACCACCTTCGCCTTCTCGTATTTCCTCAAAATTCTGTCCACCGCTTCGTTACTTTCGGCTTCATCCTCTTCATCCTCCTCGTCCTCATCCTCCTCCCCTTCACCCTCTTCCTCTTCGTCTTCCCAAGCCGCTTCATCATCATCATCCGCATTCGCAGCACCTTCCTCATCCGGCGCGTGACTTGCACCATTCGGCACCTCCTGATCCACTGGCACGGGCTCTTCAAGAGCACCAGGCATGCGGATTGTAACCAGGTTCTCGTCGTTCTCGTCATATTCATCCCAGGACAAGCATAAATGCAAGTCGCCAGACAACTCTTCAATGAATTTACGATCCCTTGCAGGGAACGTATTAGGGAACTGTAGTACCGCATTGCGAATGGTGGTGCGGTCGGCATTCCTGTGTTGTATGACGAAGTTCTTGACTTTGTCGAATAAATCTCTTTGAGATGGGGTCAAAGCTATCAAAGGAGTCAGCAGGACATGGGCGAAGAAACTTCATCACTGACTTAATCCAGCACGTGTCTTCGCCGCCTCGATCTCTTTCACATGCTTCGTCTGCTTGCCTTTGAACCAATTGATGTCGGCGTACTCCTTCTGGAATATCTCCAACTCCCACTCCTTCATCTCGTCCAGTACCCGCTGCAATCTCTTCGTATTGATGACACCGCTCTCATTCACGTACCCGTCTATATCACGTCATAAGACTTCAGCAACCGGAGAGCGGTGACAGTACTGCGCACCCAAAGACGGAAGAATCTTCTTGTACACCTCGAACAGTCTCTCTAGACCATTCTCATGAATGTGCAGATCTGGCAGGTTCGGCAGGAAGTCGTTCCCGACGAACACAGCCAGGAGAATGAAGTCGTCGATAACTCGCTCTAAGTTATAGTCAAATGGAAGTACAGGCGCTATATCATTGAACTCGAGATCAAGGTACTCCCGCATCAGCGTCAGATGCAGCAAGTAGAAATTTCTTGTCTCGAGACTGTGAACCGTCAGAAACGCCGTACAACAGGAAACGGAACGTCGTACCTGTCATTGCTCTTGCTCTTCCTCGCAGGACCGAACTTGACCTCCTCCCGCAACAAACAGAAGTGCGGATCGTGACTCAGAAGCCCCAACATGATCAAGTCCGCATCCAGGCCATACAAGCAATGGCGCACATTAGGGTTATAATCCGGCTGTGCCCTCGATAGCCGGATGTATTCCATGATCTTATGCTCCCCTTCACCCGGCACGTCGTGTCCAGAGAAGACTACTTCAATGCTCTGCCAGTTGGAGTCTTCCGTTATCTTCTTATTTATGAAATACCGCATCTGGGCCGACAACTTCGCCATGAAGGTCGTGCCTTGCAGAGATCCCGTCCAAACTTATTCAATGGGGAATAGTGGAAGAACTCACCAGGGGTGATACAGTTGCTATCAAATGCCTTCTCATCTGGAAGCTTCTCCCCTCTCCTCTCCGCCTTCTCCCTCACTTCTCTTGCCTCTTTGGCCGTCCTAAACCGACGACTCCTCTGCTGATTCATCTTTGCTCGAGGCGCAACACCGTCAACAGCCATAAAAAATAGCTTCTTTGGCTTGATCTTCGAGAATAGATGCTCGACATATGCGAATATTGACGTAAATATTTGCTCTTCAGTCAATCGGAAGTGGGCGTCCTCGTCATTCGGATGTGAACCTGGAGACATGAGATATTGTAAGTGTCACTGGTGCGTAGACGACTGCTGTGTCGTGGTACTAACACGAGTGGATGATGCCATTGAAGTCCAGGTAGAGGTTGTCTGCAAGGAACGTCAGCGCAGGTCCATGACGGGAGGTCTGGTCCAACCGAATTCAGGAATCTTATTCTCTTCAATCAGCTGAGACGTCAAGGGGTACCGTTCGCTGTCGGCCTAGTTAGACAGATCCAATGATACAAAGTCAAACTCACGAAATGTAACGGAAGAACTACATGGAGTTGTGTTAGTAGATGCACATTCGGGAGCTCCTTCTGTACGAACCTTCGGGATTCCTGTTCAGCCATGGTTAGAGCAGCCATTCCTCAGCGTCTGACCATGAACACTCACCCATGTTTGACTACAGTACAACCGAACGGTGGAAGCGTGTGGCAGACTCGTTGCAAGCGCCATTCGAAACCAGGTGGCTGAAGCGGGGGAAGCTGACTAAGCTCCACGTGGATTAACCTTTTATTCATCTGTCGATCAGACTGCTTTGACTTGCAGCCATCCCCGAACTGACGGCAAACCTTGACCTAAGGGTCCTCGCCCGCCAGGAAAAGACGCTATACCACCGTTTAAGGTCATGGCGCCTGCGCAAAGTGATATGGGCTTGAATGAGTTGCGCCCCGTGGAATCCAGCCAGCCGGAAGGTTTGACAGTCGGGCCTTCAGACAGGTTGTCTCGAAGCACTCATGAGGAAGGAGCCTCCCAGGCAGGGCAGGCTTACAGGATAAATAATCTAGGGCTGTGGTCTCTGGGAGCCCAGCACTTGTCCAGGTAGAGTCCCCCAGGAAACCGTCGTACAAATCACTGATGTTGCGTCCAGTACATGGGGAGACCGCGCGGCTGAATTCGCCTTCTATCTCTATCTAATTGAGATATTCAAGACTACTTTGGTCCCCGCTTCATTATTTGGTTTCTTCACGACAGGCAAGCGCTTCACATTGACGCTGAGACGTTGCGAAGGCCGCGAAGCTGAGGGACAATACTTGAGCAGGCATCTGCATCTTGACCTCAGGGTGGATCGGCTCTCTCGTAGATCGGCTACCGAAACTGGTCTTCGTCCGGTGGACCATTGCGCTGCAGAAGATATCTGCGACAGCCGCCTATGCCTGCTTTCTTACCCTTTTTCTTACCGATCTAGGTGACTCCGCTGTCCAAGGGATACATGTTCCGACCTTGACTTGGGTCCTGTTCGCCATAATCACCTTGCTTGGTTGCGTTTTAAAGGTGTCGACTGTTGGCATTTCTGTCGCGATCGAGCGCGATTGGGCTACTTGTATCGCAGAGGGACATGACAGCAGGCTAACTACGGTGAACACTGTGCTGAGACGTATCGACTTGATCTGCAAACTTGTGGCGCCACTCTTTGTTTCATTACTGACGGCTGCCGCTAGCTATGCATTTTCTGCAGCCTTTTTGCTTGGTTTTGGCCTTGTCACCACTGTCTTCGAGTTGATTTGTACGGTGGGCAACCGGTTGTCCTTCTAATGTGACTGACAGTATCTCTCAGGGATACAAATCGTGTACCGCTGGTTCCCTGTGCTGGAGAGAGAGCAACAACGGAAGGATGCTGGACGGCGGGATGCTGAGCAGACTTCATCAGGTTCCTCACGGAGGAGTGGCTCCTCGCAAGGGCCCTACAGAAAGCCGCTTACGTGGAGTCGTGCCACACGATGGTTTATTGCTCAAGCGTCCGACTGGAATGAATTCACACGACACCCCGTTTTCGGGAGCTCGCTCTCAATATCACTGCTCTATCTTACCGTATTGTCGTAAGTATATATCAGCAAAAGAGGTTACGATCAACTAAAGGTCACCGGAAAGGTTCGACGGCACACTGCTGTCGTGGCTAAAGACACATGACTTCTCCGATCCGTTCGTTGCTGGGATGCGCAGTATTTGTGTGCTCGCGGGTCTATTTGGCACTTTCCTCGCACCATTCTTAGAGAAAAAAGTGGGTCTTGTCCGCGCAGGCAATTGGGCATTATGGTGAGCTCAGGTTCGTACTGTCATGGCGTCGGTAGCTAACTGACGAGTCATTCAGGAGCCAAGTTGTGGCACTGGTCCCGGTGCTGTTGAGTTTCTACGTGGGAGCTCCTCGCGATGGCACACGTAGCTCCAATTGGAATGCAGCCATGCTCTTCGGAGGTCTGTACCACCTCGCCAGCGGATTGAAAGATCAGCCGTTTGCTCATGATGTTGCAAGGCCTCGCCCTGTCGAGGATTGGCCTCTGGGCCTTTGACCTGTGTCAACTCAAGGAGCTGCAAGTATCCCTGGCTGACCATCCCCGACGAAATGCCCTGTGAGTAACAATTTTCCCGTTGCTGCTAAACATCATTCAACCGTTATCAGGACTGGCTTGCAATATGCTCTTCAGAACATAGCTGATCTGATGAAATACGTCCTGACGTTGATACTGTCGCGTCCCTCCCAATTCCGCTGGGCTGCGCTGGTTTCATTCATATCCGTCCTTGCTGGCGCGATGAGCTACATGGCGTTCGTACGGCGAATGCGGGGTCATATCATTCATAAAGAATGGCTGGAGGCATTGCTCGGGAAGGCCAAGGCTGGCTAGACTCAGATGTCGGTGTCTCACCTCTGTCCTCATGTCGTGGCTATAATGTAGTATTATTATAAGCAGGCTGTCTGCTTTCGGACGATAGTTCCGCTACGTTGTAATTGTCGGCGTTCCGACGTGGATAATGGTAGCTTGGACCGATAATCTACCACCCATCACGCAATCCAACTTGTCCATGGCGTGCTTATAGCTGCTATCGCTCCATATCTCAGCCCAGATAACAAGTCGCGCAATAGCTGGTTCTATTAGTGCAAGTATTCGTATGCTTTTCGACAATAGTATATTAGTTCCGCTCGATGTGATATGTCTGGCCAGGGCTTCCAAACATGGCTCCAGTCGCGACGAACGAGACGGCACCGCTTAACCATCAGGTCCTGAAAGCGAAGGAAGACGAGAAGGTCTTCAATCCTTTCTATTCGCCTGCCATTGCCGATGACGGTGACTCGACGTACAAGTTCGCTCAGTACAAGGTACGAGCAACAATTTTCGATGGCCAAGGGGAGATCTCGCTGACTTTGAACAGCCCACGTTCCCCGACGTGAAATGGGAGCCTCTAACTGAGCAGAAAGTCGTCGAGCGAGGCCTATTCGCTGATCCGGACAAACGTGCTTTGCTCTCGGCTGCGTCCAAAGTGAAGCACTTGACGCCCGCTATTGGTACTGAGATCCACGGGATCGATCTCAGGCAGTTGTCCGACGTGCAGAGAGATGAATTGTGAGTCGAGAGCCTTGTATTGTAGCGACTCAGTTGACGGTTATTTCCTAGAGCCTTGCTCATCGCTGAGCGAGGTGTCGTGTGTGAGTATACCGTAAGCGCACTATCCCCGCTGCTGATCTAATGATGCATTGTCGTCAGTCTTCCGCGAGCAGGAGCTCACCATTCAGGAACAACTGGACCTTGCGGCGCACTGGGGCCCCTTGCACAGACACGCTACAACCCCTATCCCGAAGCAGCCCGGGTTGGATACCGTGCATGGTATGTTTGCAGTCTTTCCTGCTGGGCTTCAGATCTATACCGATCTTTTATACGCGGTGCAGTCGTGTATAACGACCACAGCAGGCGCCCGGATCCCAGCGCTTTTTCGAAGCTGGAGCTTTGGCATTCGGATGTTTCCTACGAGATCCAGCCTCCGGGCGCCACTTCCCTCAAAGTAATCACCGGTCCGGAGTACGGAGGTGATACTCTCTGGAGCTCTGGGTAAGTACTCGCGGCAATGTGGATTGGATTTACCTCATATATTTGTGAAGTTACGCCTTGTACTCCTTCCTCAGCCCAGGCATGCAGAAGTACCTGGAGGGCCTCACGGCCCTTCACAGTGCTGTTGCCCAAGCCGAGGGAGCCAAGGCGGCTGGCCTCCCTGTCCGTCGCGACCCTATTGAAACTGTCCATCCTGTGGTCCGGGTACATCCGGCCACCGGCTGGAAGAGTGTGTACGTTAACCCAGGCAAGTTGCGGAGCGCCATATTGAGGTGACATTGCCGTTGCTGATGCGTGGTATCCAGGCTTTACCCGTCGTATTTTGGGCGTGCCAAAGGCAGAGTCGGACAATATTCTTAGCTTCCTCTTCCGGCAAATCAGCGAGAATGTCGACTTCCAAGTCCGCTTCAAGTGGGAGCCCAATTCAATTGCCATCTGGGACAACAGGGTGCGTCCACTCCTTCACCCTGTGTATCTCGAATGACACCACGGATCATCTTCGCGCATAGGTCGTCACACATTCGGCCACCTTTGACTTCTGGCCGGCCACTCGGCACGCTCTGAGGGCTACCCCTCATGCAGAGAGGCCTTTGTCTGTGGAGGAATACGAGCGTATCACTGGCAAAGAAGCGAAGGATAGGCAAATCGAGATCTGGCGGCAGCAGGGCATTGAGGATCCTCGGCAGAATGGGACTGCGAAAGCCCGCCCTCGTGGATACAACGATTAGACACGGGCGACCCTGGGTACGCAGCTACGTGCATTCGTTCGTCTTGAACGCCGATCAGATGTACGATAGTTGTAAGATAGGCATGTTTATAAAGTTGGCTTGCTGTCGTCGGCCAGCGGTGGATATATGGCGAGGTGGCGGACATTGGCTTGACCCAATCTCATCTTCACTCCCGTCCCTGAAAGTCTATGGTTCAGATACGGTGATTCGGATCATGCACAAGGCTATCTCCTGTGCCCATGATCAGTCATCTGAGATGGGAGCTACTCCGTTGACTGGCCACAGTCCCGTCACTGATGCAGGGATCTTCCTGCCAAGTGTATCATCAACAACTGCAGATCTCCGGTACCGCACCCACGTACTGCTTTCACTTCGATGCTAGGGTACATACAGATGCCGGCCTTATCAAGCTTTGTGGCTTTCAAGTATGGAAGGTCTTGCGCACCTCCGGTACGGCGTTCCCTGCAATGTGCCGATCCTCGAATGAAGGAGGTGGGAGAAACGTACGTATCTTCCGGTTTCCATACGTCATTTTCGTTTCAGTTCGAGGAGATTGTAACTGCGTCCCGCGCTGCACGGCTCAGAGCCAGGCAGCGGTCTTATCTCTTTACGGTATGTTTGAACCGGGAACTTAGACCCCGGGGAAATGTAACCTAGTCACGGAAATACACACCTGTGGTTCATCAGCTGTCATCATGCTGGACTCGGACGACTGGTGGCTGCACAGCCAGTGAGCCACAAAATGGGAGAGCTGAGCACCCTCCAGACAATATAGTCGAAGCGACCAGTACTTGTGAATCAAAGCTCTCGAGAATTCTCGAGAAGTGCAACATTCGGAGGATGGAAGCTTCCGTGCCCCGCGACTGTGCTCAATCTCTTGCGGGCTGTGGCCATGGCAATCTCCATTGCTTCGGGAAGCTGCGGTGCTGCACTAGGGTGCCGCGCGTGCATGATCACTCCCGGAGCCTGGTAAGAAGCACATATAGCAGCAGAGTGCCACCTGCGTGTATGGATGAAATGCAACGCCGGCGATCTATGTGCGGATGAGACTTCTCATGGGGGTATTCGCAACGAGTTCAAATGAATAGGTGAGATAGACCGAGCCGGGGATAGGATCTGGGAAGCAACACAAATTGGGAGTCCCTCAGGAACGGAACGCACCCATGCAGCCCCCAACGATCGGTGAAGTGTAAGCCCTACATGAAAGATAATACAATCACCATCATGCTGCCTTACACTAAATGGCAGACCTCACGTACCAACGGCAAGGCGGCGGTTGTATAACAGCACATTTGAACAACGTACTCACGATGCTGCTATATGGACTAGAGTAATACCCTGTGTTTGTCAGATTCACGAGAGACTAGTGACGTACAGCTATGATCTCCGGATACCTATCCAGGATAAGCGCTGCGAACTCAGAAGGAACCTTTTTACCGGTGTATTAGTGCCCGACAAGCATGGAAATTTTAGATACACATGGATCGAGTACTAGTGGTAATTTCCACCCCGCTTTGTGGTGCTCGGACGGCTTGGGCTCAGGGTCGATCTGGCGAGGAGTTAACGCGCTAACCTTGGGATCTGTATCGATTGCTAGCTTATATGCAGGTCGGTCATCCGCGTTCTTCCTTTGGACGCAGCTGATAGATCAGCAAGCTGAGATGAGCTTCCAAGTTCCAGTCCTGCACCCACGACTGCAGCTGCTGGGGTTGCGGCTGACGAGATCCTATATATCAAAGATGATTCACGGTTTGGAGGACAGGCTACAACGATCAATCGAGTTGATGGATTGTGGACAGCGGTGATGGTGCGTGGGGACGAGGCGTCGCGAATGTGCCTGGCGGAGTGGGTCGTATTCATAAACTTTGATTGCGATAGGATCTGATTCCAGTTGGGCGGCACGTCACCGGTTTCCATAGCCAGCCTTCTCCCAAAGTATCTTCCACGTACATGAATTGATGTAGGAACTCGCAGCTGTTGACTGAAGTAGCATACGATACGACACATCTGCTGCGCCGTTTAGACATTTTGTACGACGGAGAACATACCCAGCAATGAGGAACATACGCTGCTTAATGTAGGCACGGCAGCAGTGAAGCCCGATTACGTGGGAGAGGCCAATACGGATCTCATGTTATCGGGAATAAGATTTCCGAATCGCCGATTTCGAAGATTGTGCTCTGCTGGATCTTGCAAGGATGGGACATCACCGTGCTGCAAGGCTGCCGCAGAACGGTACGAGCTTGCATTACAGCATAGAATACCGAAATTCGCGAGTCGTAAATATGAATGACGAGGGGATGGAAAGACCTAGCACAAGAAAATTCAATATTACCAATTAATGGGTTGAATTAGTGAAACGCGAGGCGGAAATCGCCGTGGTGTCCGATGGATCGTTTCGATAGCTTCCATAACGGACAGATTCAATCTCCGATGGAAATCTCAACCCCTTTCTACCGTCGCGCCATCATCCCTCTCCTCTGGCAACAACCTCTGCAAGCCACTCCCGCAATTCCCGACGACATACAGCGCGGCGGGCGCGTACTTCAGCCGTCGCTGCTCGACACGACGAGCGCGCTGTCCGCAGCGTTTTCCATCAGGTATGTGACTTCGGCAAGCTGAATGTTTCTGATCTCGATCCGTATTCATCGGGAGATAAAATATCAGATTCCAGTCCTGCCTGATCTCACCTTCATTGTCCGTAGATTCGAATGGCCTCTGCCCAACCGTCGTCGTATTCCCTCCCACCCCCGCCATCCAATACGAATATGCACAACAGCGACTTCCGTCTGCCTTCTCTGAAAGACCTTAACTTCCAGTACCGCTCACCGCAAGATGGGTCGGGCCAGCCGCCGCCCAGCGCCAGCAACCACGGGCAGTACGACCATCCTCCCCCGGCACCGTCGAGCTCTCGTCACGAGCCAGGTTCATGGGGTCGTCCGGGTTCCACAAACCAACCGCCGCCCCCATCTTCCAGCGGACATGAGCAATCTGCCAAGTCGGTCGACTATCCTCACTCAAAACACGAGGGCTACGTTACGCCTGGTATACCCCTTTCCGCGCAGACGACCCCAGGGCCGGGCGCTATTAACAGCACGCACCCTCCTCAACGAGAAGATCCGGCTCATATACCACACAAAAGGCCGCGATCAGACTCAGCGGTCAGCAGCAATATTTCTCCGGGCCGGTCTCCGCACGTAGGTGTCACTTGTCTGTCGGCCTTTGTCTCGCAACGCGCGTGTCTGTATTTTGTTCTGTGCTGACTCTCGTTGCTTAGGCGTCGTACCCTCCGCACCCTTCGTACGCGCAGCCGGTATACCAGCAGCCACCTCCCGCTGCCCCTCCTCACGAACCCAGTCACCAGCACCCGGGACCATACCCGCCGCCTCCGGCTTATGGTGGGTATCCGCCACACTACATGCCTCAAAGGTCTGGCCCTCCGCCTCCACCGCCAGTGCATGCTTCTCCGCATACCCATCCGGGCCACCCGCCGCCGCACGGTAATCCGTACCCGGCACCTCCTCCCGCGCATCCGGAGCCACACTGGCAGCACCACCACGGGCTACCGCCACCGCCACAGAACGGACCGCCCCCTCCTCCACACCAGCAATATCACCAGCCTCCTCCGCACGAACAGCAACCTCCGCACCAGCAATATGGACCTAGAACGACGCCATTAGTTCCTACTACTCTTACTGATAATAGGCCACCGCCTTATGCAACCAGCGATGCAGAGAAGGTAGCTGTACGACAAGACACCTTGCAAAAAATCATCAGACATTGCGGGGTACTCTGCTCGTTCGCTGAACGGTATGGTGCGTATATCCAGCGCCTCTTGGAGGCGATGTGACGTTGACCATGGCCTGCAATTCTAGCTAAGCTTCAGCAAAGTCTTCCTCGTGCGGAACCGGACCCCAGCGAGGTTTCGGAAATGGCTCAGAGAGCCGCGCAAGTTGTCCGTCTCGTCGACACTCTCAGAAGGATCATGTACGGAGCGGAGCCGCCTTCGCCGGGCGCGCACGCCCCCCACCCTCACGCTCCCGTCCACCCTGGGCCTCCGCCCGTTCAAGACAGGCCCCCGAAGCGGCCCTGGGAGGATATGGCTAGAGACGAGAATATGCCTGGTGTCGCCGGCCCATCTCACGGCCCAAGTGAAGGTAGCATGGAACCGTCAGGTCCTCATGTACAAGGACCACCAGGGTCGACAACAGCCGAGCAAGACATGGAGCTGATTAGGACCAAGAGAGCCACAAGCTCCGCTGGAAGCGGGATGCCAGGGCAAGGCAAGAGCAAGTATAGGAAACGAAGCGTATGTATCCGTTGATTCTCCTCGTCGGATGGATGCAGCTGACAAGCAATGCTTTATTTCGATATAGCGCGCTACTCCTCCAGGAAAGTGTCACTCGTGTAATATCCGAGAGACCCCGGAGTGGAGACGAGGTCCAGATGGGGCAAGGACATTATGTAATGCTTGTGGACTCCGTGAGTAACTCCGAATTATCGGCTCATATGCAGAAGCGTGCTGACGACGATTGTCAAGACTATGCTAAGCTCATGCGAAAGCGGGATAAAGCGCTCGCCGAAGGCCATCCGTCGCCTATTGTGGATCTCGAGACGCTCAAGAACTCTGCTGCCGCCAGGGTAGCGAGCGAAGACGATAATGCCGAGCCGTCGCCAGTACAGTCCAACAGCCACCTTCCGCCTGGCGAGCCGCAAGAGCTCCGCCAATACAGACAAGATTATGCTACGTCGGAGTCCGTCTCGCAACAGTCCACGCCCCATGTTGGCATTCGAAAGATGCCACCGGCCTCCCAAGGTATGCCGCCGAACCACCATCCGCATCCGTCCCAGCTTCCACTCTCCGGTCCCGGGCAGCAACCTCAGCCTCCCTCGTATCAGCTAGTGCCCGTCGGCAGTAGCTCCCTCGCGGGGCCGGGACATATGGCGCCCTCTCCGATTCAATCCTCGAATCAGCAAATGTTGCCTCCCCCGCCCCCTCATACCCCCCACGGCGCGCATGGCGACTCGCAGCAGTCCAGCGGTGTACCGCCGCCCCCGCCGTGGGCCACGCAGAACGGGGGTAGGAACGGCTACGCCAACGACCATCCGCAGGGCCATTCCAACCATCCTCATCAACAACAATCGTTTGCCCGTAGGCCTCACGTCTCGAATGCTCGCGGGTCACCGCATTAAGGTATGAAATATGGTACTGCATCAACTGGTATTTTTGTCTGTTCCCTTGCTTCCGCACATTGTTTATAGGTTGTCTCGTTCTAATCGTGCCAGTAGCGTCCCTTGTATAATTCTCTGTATAGTCGCGTATTGCCTTGGTAGCTATGACGTTCTCTACAGCAATAATCTTGATTGTACGCCCGATGAGATGTCCGATGTGGCGGAGGGGGTGCGGCGTGAATCTGCAGGTCGCCGCTGACCCTGCACGGTCCTGTACGTGAGAGGGATCTGGCAGATCCATCTGACATGCTTCCAGATCGCGATTGCCACCTGATCGATCTCCTTTTGGTGCTCATACCCAGATTGCCTCCAGTTCCTGCCGTGATTTCCCTTTCTGGGCGATTTGCCCCGGATATTATCATAGACCACCCGAGTGACACCGTTACCAAGCCTTCTTAGGCTTGTGACTGGGGTCGCAGTCGCGAGCCTAACATGGCTCGCAAACCTTAATTCTGCACCCCACCTGAATCCCCCGCCGGGGCCCTGTGCTTTACGCCTGAGTCTGTAGGGCACACGTCACCAGCCGCCTAGCTAATAATAATCCGCGCCTGCTCCTAACCCTAAGTTCGCGCCTGCCGTTACGCACGGCGCCGACGCTTGTCCCGACATTGTCGCGCACGACGGCGACAGCTATAGCACTCAGAGGCAATGTATAAATTCCGAAAAAAACGTGATAAATTCTAGAATATATACTAGGACTACATACATGCTGCGCGACGATATCTTAACGATTAGTTACCCTTCCATTGTCATCATCGACAGCAGCAATGAGATGAGCTGCGTGCTACCTCTCGTATGCACGATTAAAAATTATGATTACCTCAGGTAAACA